ATAGTAGCTTTTCTTTGGCCTATAAACAAGTTGTACAACTTTAGGGTTTCTACTTTTTTTTTTATAAGAGAACTTACCTTGCAAGTGCTAAATCACAGTTTGTGGGCGTCTCTATGAGTTGTGGACCTCGAAATTCTCCTTCCAACAGCGTCACTCCACAGAGCACTTAATCGTAAATAATTGGCACGCCTGTTTTTCATGATTATTTTTCTTAATGCTCTTCGGTCGGCATTTGTATATTACTGTTTTTTCACATATCGTGGCTTAATATTAACTGAACCAGTTAGGTTACATCCTCTAACAATATTTCTCACACTGTACCGTGATAACTCTAAGAAAGTTGCAATTTCTGAGTTTGATTTCCCAGAATTAAAAAATTTATTTATCAGTAACCGAATTTTCTCACTAATAACATTTCCTCTACCCATTTTGAAAACCTTAACCACCCAAAACTATTTTAAACGTATTCTGACAGCTGTGATTAATAAAAACAATTGTCATGCTTTTATTTTTCACAGTCACCTATGCGTTATAGACTTATTTTGCATTGAAATGAAAATAGGTTGATATGCTGTAATTGCAACAGGTGTTATTTTTATGCTGCAAATTTGATTAGGGAGTGATAAAGTTGGTGTTTTCTACTATGTATTATCAAAATATTTATTGTTAATATTTTAAACCCTGCTACATTTTGCTGTGTTTAATAAGAAAAAAACTAAGATTTCAATAGTTGGGCCAACTGAAGTGGGAAGGGGCTCGTGCGAGTTAGGAAATTGGATGTATAAAGTGATGTCGGTAGTTACAGTGTGATCCGTCAAAAGCCGTGAAATGAACTATATTATCGTTAATATAAGTAATATTTCATTTGGATTGTATGGTGAGGTTTTTAACAAGTGAAACGTGAAGCAAAATGTTAAAAACATGTCCAACAGGCCAAAACCTAATTTTATGTCATTTGTTCTGCAAAATACACACATAATGCAGACAAATGCTTGGTTTATTTTTTATCTTCTGCTGCCGTGTTCACAATAATCTTTAAGAGGTCCGAGGAGACCGCTGTGACATGGTGGGAAACATATGCCAAGCACGCCATGGCAGTCCGATTTTGATGGTTGCAAGTGATGAGTCGGAAGGTGATCGTAAAATCGAACCATTTATGGATTTATTGATGAAGAAATTTCAAGAATCCTACATTTCTAACTAAGAGTTCTGCATAGATGAAGGTCTACCATTTATGGGGTGAAAATATTTAAACTTTGTTGTGGATCGAGTTTCATTTGGAACATGAAGTTGTATTGTGGAAAAAACATAAAGATGCTGGCATATCTGTTAGAAGTAATACATTTATGCATTTATCACAGAAACTTCTCGATTCGGTGCGTATTGGAGTTTGGAGTTGGCTAACAGATTGCTGGATTTAGTAGGAACTCTAAGAGCAAATCGCAATGGAACCCTATAGTCTAATCATATTAGCAAATTTCTCCGAAACAGTTGTAAAGTCTGGTTTTATTGGTGCAGCTTAACCTAGGGGGTACTTAAAACATGGACGTATAAAACGGACACACCAATTTTTGTGTTCACAGGAACGAAAAAACTTTGCAGCAAAATGGCAAAATGCAGGTTTTGGCACTTGTTGGTAATGCGATGATAAATATGGGCATTTAATTGAAATTGTCGAATCCATGGGATTCATACTTCTTGATAAGAACAGCAAAATTGGGGTATATTGGTCAAGTAATTTTTTGAGAATTTCTAATTGTTTATCCCAAAACACTTGTCTTCCGGCCATCACTACTAGTTTATTGAACAATATACAGGGCTGGTTCAAAGAGCATTTAATAGAAAAATACACGCGTTTACATTGCCGATATGAATCGCAAACCATTCCGAAGGATAAATGTTATTTTTATGCGAAAAACGAATTTTACGTTTTTTTTCTTCTACGCAAATTCAAACATGTATTTGTGAGCAATTGAATTTGTTTAGGAGACAAAACATAACCCATGCTTTTTTGCATAGAAATAACATTTATCCTTCGGAATGGTTTGCGGTTCATATCGGCAAGGTAAACTAGTGTATTTTGCTATGAAATGCCCTTTAAACTAACCCCGCATATTGCTCAATAAACTAGTAGTGATGGCCGGAAAACAATTAGAAATTCTCAAAAACTACTTGACCAATCTAATTTTTTGTGGTTAGTTAGAAGTAGAATCCTACGAATTTGGAGATGTTCAAACACCTGCAAGAAACCATCGTCGCATTACCAATAAGTGCCAAAACCTGCAGTTTGCCTCATTTTGCGGCCATAACTTGTTTGCTAGTCGGATCTTTTTACGTGTAGTCTCGTTTTGTAGGTCTCATAAATACTTAAAAATCTTATATAAAGAGTTCTTTCGTTCCTTCCAACACTTTCGATTGAATCCCAAAAAAACACTCTTTCTCATTTTTTGTTTTCGAATAAAAAGTTTTCCCACACAAAATTGGTGTACCCACCTTATGCGTCCATATTTTAAATACCCCTTTGACCAACTTGAAGCAATCGTTTAATATGATTAGACTACTAAGGAGGTAACAAATAAAATGCTTAATATTGGATAAATTGTGGCAAAGAAAACGATGTATGGATTATAAAGTGGAAGACAAGTGTGATGTGCTGATATTATCCACCAAGCATACAGATGAAATTGTAATGGTACCCAAACAAAATGGAGATGTAGAGAAACCTGTAGCACTCTTGGAGTTCAATTGTGCAGTGAAGTAGTATAGGAAAATTGCAATAGAATTGATACTTGGGTCTGTTCTGGTGATTGCATATTTTCTTTTTAAAGCCATAGATAACCGGCCAGTTTCCATCACAGATTTCAAACAAAGCATTGTAGAGAGCCTCATGTTTGCAGGAAATGTGTCTAATCTGCCCTCTGCGTCAAAGGCGTACAGACGACGAGAACGACATGTTCTGACAAAAAAAGGAAAAGCACATACAGTAGGACGATATTCTAATAAACCAAAAAATTAAGTATCGAAGTAACCATGCATTGTGACAGTTGTGAAGGGAATACTCACTTTTGCCTCGACTGTATGCCTATATTATAACTTATTTTATTCCTACTCAGTTCTACTGAAATCTTGTTTATTTTTGACAAAGTTGTTGTACAGGTTCAGTACTTGGGAGTAAATGATGCAAAAAACTGATAATTCTGTTAAAAAAATACACCAAAAAGTTGCCATATGACTATAATCCACACCAGCCACAGCGGCCCATATCTAGCATTAAGATGAACTCAGATATGGACCTCACGCTGGATTGACGGTGCAAATATACTAAGTGACACCATCTTATTCAGAGCTTCAAAAATATCTGTACCCTTGGTTGTACCATGGAAAGGAGTAAGGTGAAGCATCTCCTCTGCTACACTTAAGTCGTCTTGAATAGTTTGGATAAAAATTACATGCTGGCTAACGTCAGACAGATCAGTGCTTTCATCCAGGCATAGCGAAAAATATAATAAGTTACATATAAATCCGAACACCCAGTTTAAATGGTTTTATTTTAATAAAATTTTGTATAAGTACTTGATGAAGCATAATAAGTAAATGATAAAAATTTCAAAATGATTGCACTGCTTTAAAGCCCTTTGACCTTTAATAATGTGTGGATGCACCCTGATGTGCTACGCATTCTCCAACGAGCCTAGGAATGCTTCTGATCAGGTGGTCAATGTCCTCCTGTGATATCTCATTCCAGGCAACCACCAACTCCTCTCGAAGTGCCTCTAGAGTCTGAGGAGGACGTTGCAAATTGAGCAATCCGCTACCCATCATATCCCACACGTGCTCAATTGGGGATAAGTCGGGAGATCTTGGTGGCCATGGTAACAATGTGACATCATTATGTTGAAAGAAGTCTATTGTGACTCTTGCAACATGTGGTCGGGCATTATCTTGTTGGAAAGATGGATCTGCCAGGGTGTCAAGATAGGGTAAAAGATGGGGTTCTAGAACTGAAGATTAAAGGTGACCTGGAACCATAAGCTATAGCACCCCAAACCATAACTCCAACAGTATGATGATCATGTCTTTCAACAAAAAACTGTGGATTCCTCCTTTCACCACGTCGCCTTCTAACCCTTACACCGACGTAATCTCCTTGAGTGGTGCAGACAACGGTCACTCTGGGATCAGGAATGGAACAGTATTGTCTTTAGTGACGAGTCTCGATTTTGTTCAGGCATGCACGATGGTCGTGCCAGGCTTAGAAGGCGACGTGGTGAAAGGAGGAATCCACAGTTTTTTGTTGAAAGACATGTTCATCACACTGTTGGAGTTATGGTTTGGGGTCCTATAGCTTATGGTTCCAGGTCACCTTTAATCTTCATCAGAGGTAACATGAACGCGCAGCGTTATATCCACGAAGTTCTAGAACCCCATCTTTTACCCTATCTTGACACCCTGGCAGATCCAACTTTCCAACAAGATAATGCCCGACTACATGTTGCAAGAGTCACAATAGACTTCTTTCAACATAATGATGTCACATTGTTACCATGGCCACCAAGGTCTCCCGACTTATCCCCAATTGAGCACGTGTGGGATATGATGGGTAGGAGATTGCTCAATTTGCAACGTCCTCCTCAGACTCTAGAAGCACTTCGAGAGGAGTTGGTGGTTGCCTGGAATGAGATATCACAGGAGGACATTGACCACCTGTGGCTTTAAAGCAGTGTAATCATTTTGAACTTTTTATCATTTACTTATTATGCTTCATTAAGTACTTATACAAAATTTTATTGAAATAAAACCATTTAAACTGGGTGTTCGGATTTATATGTCACTTAGTATAGATACACAGCAGTCCATGCGGACCGCAGTAGCATGATAGCCATGGCGTTGAACGAGTTGAAGCAAATTGCCATATTGTGTAAACGCAGCATAATGTCGGGGATTCCAACGGTATAATACTTGAAAGCAATTATAATTAAAATGTTAAGAATATAACTTACACTGTCGGTACATATCTCTCGTCAAACCTCTTATCTTTGTATGCGATTAGGAGACATGTCTTTCCCGTTGCACCGTCTCCCACCACTGTTATCCTGATTGTCCTCTTCGAAGCGGTAGCCATTTTTACCAATCACCGTTCACATCCTACAACACATCAGCATTTCCCACGGAATATCTGCTTCAGGCTTAAACGCCCTTGGGGCAAGTTTTCCTAAAAACACTGGATTTCAATATTAGATTTCGGTAAAATTGGCTGCAAACAGTGATAAAACTCTACATACGTACGGAGCAATGTAATTCTTATCTCGTTTTGTTCTAGATAAGATCAGATAAGTTTATCGTATAAATGTAAGTGTGTCAGAGGAACGTATAAATATTTCTAATATGCCTTACACTATTGCTATTGTCTGAAATGGACCGATAAGATTATTCGAACAGCGATACCGAGGAAATTTACAATGCGTTTGACACGAGACAGTTGGAAATGCTTAAGCTCTTTGTGCAAATTTCTTAAATGCTGGATAAAGATAATCATCCACTTTTTGAATATAAAGTTTCTGACAAAAATGGTGTGAAGTAGATTGACTCGATACGTCTCACGCCTTCAAAGCGATTTATACAGACTGTAAGAAAAGTTTGTAAAGCATCGAATTCTGACGAATGACTCATCGATTTTTTTAAATTAGTAGGTTTAGGTTCGAAACCATGGCGGATCCGTAGATGATATCCGCAATGTTGCTAAGTCTACAGTTTTTCAGAAACTGATAGCAACTTTTGTTTACATTTTATTCGATATTTGTGTTCTGCGAGAAATTCTTTTAAAGACGGAAATATTTCTTCCTTGCAGAAAGATCTTGATTCAAGAGCTACCAGATGATGATTTTGACAGGCGATTACAGTTCTGGTGGACATGTGTTATAGAAATTAACACTTTTTTGCGCGAAATAATGTTTTCGGATGAGCCAAGTTTTCCTTAGAACGGAACTCTTAATCCCCTTATCTGCCGCTACAGGGCCAGGAAAGGTCGTCATTGGGTACGGGAGCATCATACAGAATATCCATAAAAAATTAATGCTTGGGCCGGTATCGTAGGTCAAAAGATAATCGGTCCGTTTTTCATGGAAGAAAATTTAAACGCTGACAGATATTTGCATCTTTTTAAGGAATGACGTTGTCCCAGCTTTGACGGAAATATCTCCTAATCGTTGTAAGTAACTTTTTGTTGCTTAGGCGAAAAAAATTTCTTTTATTTCGAAAACTATGAGGTTTACCTCAAAGTACGTTCAAAAAGTTTTCAGAATTTCTCGCACAAGAAAAGTATCGGATAAAACTTATAGCATCCCATAAGAAAAACGAAAGTTGCTATCGGTTTCCGAAAAACGGTAGATCTGGCAACATTGCGGATATCAACGGGTCCACCGTGGTTTCGAATCTAAGCTACCCAATTAAAAAAAAATAGATGAGTCATTCTTAATAAATTCGATGCGTTCCAAACTTTTCTTACCGTCTGTATGTAATAGGAATATAATAATAATAATAATAATAATAATAATAATATTTATTTACTCAATGTACAAAGATAACAAACAATATGAGTAAATAAATATAAAATCAAAACAGGCCCAATAGAAGGCATCGCCTGTACATGGACCAATAATTTTAGTTGAAACTGTAGAATGCAATATGATAATAAAGAAACAATATCTTATCTGTGCTTCATAGATATATCCAAATCATTCGGCTCAGTGGATAGAATTGTAATGTGAGGTAAACTGAACAACTGTAATGTGAACAGAAATTTAATAAAAAAACACACAATGCATATATACAGTGTGGTGCATCGAAAACGAAACAGACGCATTTACTGGCAACTCAGTTTTTTTTTTTTGAAAAACGCTCAGACCCGTCGATTTTGTTTTCGAGGGGGACACAAGATTGGTAAAAAATCACGTTAACACGTGCAGCCCCCTAAGCGGGGGTGACACCACCCCCAAAACCTTAAATGGAAAGGGGGGTCGAGTGATACCTTATTTTAAAGGTCTTTCAATTCCCTTTATAATGATATAAAATTAGTGTACTTCAGTTCAGTAGTTTTGAAGATTTATTGATTTAAAGCTTAAATAAAAATAATACATCATCATTAGTGAAGATCAATACATTTGGCAGCAAAGTAATTTCAAAATGATAAATGAACTGACCCGTTAGGCAAGTAAATGTTGAAAATGGCCACCATGACTCTCCATGCAATAATAACTATTTTGCTCAAAACGTTACCGTACATTTTGCAATATTTGAGGAGTAATTTGAAGGCACTCATTCAGAATTCTTTGTCGCAGGTCAACTAATGATGTTGGCTGAGTAGCATAGATTTTGCTTTTCAATGACCCCACATAAAGAAATCCAAAGGTGATAAATCTGACGATCTTGGGGACCATTCAGTGACACCTCTTCTACCAATCCATCGATCTGGAAACGTGTGATCTAAATATTGTCGAACACGTAATGTGTAATGTGGTGGGGCACCATCCTGTTGGAACATCAACCTATTCGCAATGTACCGCCGATCATTCTGATTTTCAATTATGGCTGTTAATGCAGGATCTATGGCGTCCTCCAGCAATTCAAATACATTTCACCGGTTAAATTTCCAGGTAAGAAAAAAGGACCAACTGAATGGTCGCCAAAAATACAAGCCCAAACATTTAATTTTTGTGGCTGCTGTGTATGAACCTCATGATAAATTCTGGGATTAGAATCGGACCAATATCGGCAGTTATGAGAATTTACTACGCTATTTAAGAAAAAGGAACATTCGTCGGAAAAGCAAGTGTTGAATAGAAAATGTTCATCGTTTATAGTTCGTTCACTCATATATTCACAGAATTGTAATCGCCGATCAAAATCGTCTTCATTAAGTTCTTGTACCAGGTGAATTTTATACGGATTAAAACTATGGGCCTTTAGAATCCGTTGGACAGTACGTCGACTAACACCACACACAGTGTCCAATTTGCCGGTACTTAACGTAGGATCTACAAAAAATTTCCCTAAAACCCCCAACTACAAGTTCTAGGACATACTTTCGATGCTGTTCTCATGTGCGTTTTTTATTGGCGACTGACCCAGTTTCCCAAAATTTAGCTACAAGTTCTAGAACATATTTTCGATGCACGTTACTGTTCCATTGTCGCTCATTAAATATTTCTGCTGTTCTATTAGCGCACTGATTATTTCCGAAAAATATTTCGATAATTTCAACTCTTTCTGCTGTGGAATATACCATGGTTAATTTATGAAATAAAGCGTTACAAGTTATTTTAGCAACAAAGTTTGGTAAAATCAATCGCAAACTATGTACTAAATTCCTATTTAAAATAAGTACGAGATATTTCCTTATCTTTCTTCAAGAAATAACTTTTTTGCCACAAAAAGCGCTCCAATAGCTATTTCCAACAACAAAATGATAAACAAACCATGGGCATACAGAAGAAAAGCATTTACTTATTAAGTAAACTCTTTTAGTCAAATTTCTTCTGAAAGTAGAACAAACTAATCTGATGTACCTATTAAAGTCTACTGAACTGAAGCTCATGTATTTTACATCATTATAAAGGGAATTGAAAGACCATTAAAATAAGGTATCGCTCGACCCCCTTTCCATTTAAGATTTTGGGGGTGGTGTCACCCCCTTTGAAAGGCTGCACGTGATAACGTGATTTTTTTGCCAAACTTGTGTCCCCCTCGAAAGCAAAATCGACGGGTCTGAGCGTTTTTTTAAAAAAAAACTGAGCCGCCAGTAAATGCGTCTGTTTCGTTTTCGATGCGCCACCCTGTATAAGAATACCAACAACTATGTAAGAACAAAAAGTAGAAATTTACAACTACAACAGGAGCGAGACAATGAGAAACATTGAGCCCAAGTCCCTTCACAGTACTAATGGACAAAATTATAAAAGAATGTGGAATTAGAAATAAGAAAAAAACGTGGGGATACTGCAATATGGAGGGGATGAATATCAACCAACTGGTACTTGCTGATCCTTGAACTGTTATCAAACAAAAAAGAAGACCTACAACATAACCTTGATGTATAGAATGGGAAATTCAGAAAATATAAACTGAGAATAAATATTTCTAAAGGCTTACATTAGATAGACATCCGATTAGAGCAACAAATAATGTAACGAATAACAGTTTAAATATTTAAAAATAATGATAACAGAGGATGGAAGAGTTGAGGCAGAATAAAAGCAACTACAAGACTATACTTCTAACTAAATAAACACCTATTTAACAATTAGAAATATCTACAAAAACATAATTAAGGATGTTCAGCTCACTGTATATCCCTACCCCAACATATGGTTCAGAAGTGTGGATGTTGAGTAAAAGACAGTGACATAAAATACAAGCAAGTGAAATGAAACTTCTAAGAAGCATTGCGGGTCTGAGGATTATGGACAAAGTCTGGAATGTAAAAATAAAAAGATTTTATACCTGTAGAAAAGAAGTGGTTTGGACACGTGGTTAGAATGCCTGTATTTGGGAATAAGGGGGTGGAGAATGGGTACATTTTAGTCAAAACCCAGAAGGAAGTAGAATGACGAAATTCAGGAGTACTTATGGCAAAGGCATTTAGACTGGAAAGTAGCAGAAGTGTTAGCTAGAGACAGATCAAAATGGAGAAGAAAGATAAGGGATAACTGAAAAAGCGTAGAAAGATATCAACCTCTACACTGGCTATGTCCGGTAGAAGAGGAGCGGATTAAGTGCCGTATCGTCAGTCGTTCCTAAAATTGTATGACTCATAGTATTCCCTCTCCTTCAGAAAGGGCGGGATATTTCTAGATTTCTACTGCTTCATGTCAGCGACAGTGCCCTCCTATTGTCAGGCTAGGTTTTCTTCTTGAATTGTAGTAAATTTCAGGCTATATAACAGATGATATAAATCAAAACTATGAACAATTCGATGCAAACAGACGTTTGTAACATAACATCAAAATAGAGCGCTGACATGAAAGAGTAGAAAAATAAAGTAGAGCAGGCCATAAAGGCGTCCTACAATTTTAGGAACGGCTGACGATTTGATGATTTCCATTAGTGCACTGTTTGGGCGTTTCGAAAAAAAAAAACATCTGGAAAAATGGAAAAAGAGCAGTATCGGTCGATGATTCGATTCTTGTTTTTGGAAGGAGATTCGCACAGCGAAATCAAAGAGCGCTTGGATGATGTGTACGTTGACTCTTCTCCTTTGCTGGTGATCGTCAAAAATTTGTTTAACGAGTTTGAACGTGGTCGCATGCCGGTTTTTGTTTATCCACGTCCCCGAAAACCCCTTACCACGAAGGATAACGTGACAAGAATCCACGATCTCGCATTAGCAGATCACCGACTGAAGGTGCACGAGATAGCTGAAATACGAGCTTGTCCGTAAAATAAGTTCCACGGGCTGCCGCTGGCGCTAGGATCGTTTCTATGCACAGCCAGGCAACAGAGGCAGATTGTTTGGTACCCCCACTCCAATCCCTCACCAAGCCAGCGTCGCTGCGACGTTTAGTCTTGGCTCAGCAGCCATTAGCGATGGCGATTGCGTCTCCCGCCAG